TGGGTTGCTCATGGTGTGGTCAAGAGTGACAGAGGATCCTGAACCATAAATGAAAGGGATGAGCCAGGAAGAGAGAGAACACAGAAACTCGTGCTCCACACAACCCCAGGAAGCCATGCAGGCCAGACTCGCTCAAATGTGGCCGTTCAGAGAAACAGCACTTGGTTCTGCTTTTGCTGTGTTTGCTCCAAACTTCCTAGATTCCCCACATCAGGGTGTGGTGACACAAGCAATTTGGCCTTCCACTAATTTTTGAGGAAGAGGGGTTTATGCTTTCTGCACTGCCAACCAGTAACCTTCATGTAACCTCAAGTCTCTGGCCTCCTCCACTCTCTGCAGCCAGTGAGGTAAGACGAAGGGCTCTGAGCTCCCACAAGGCAAGGTTTGGAGGATCTTCTGACGCTCACTAGCCCATGACACATAAGTGAATATACTCTGTTTCCAAAATAATTTTCTTTTAGTGCTTAGTGTCACTTAAGGTTTTGGAAAAAATAAAAATAAAAATAAACCACAATTCAGTCTTTCAAAATCACCTAACCATCCAAATGACAGACAAAGCTCAAAGAAAAGATACCTTTTGACTCTGCTCTATATTTGCACTCTTTGGTTATGGTTTCTGGAAACCTTCTGTAAGTTGGGTAGATAGAAAAAAATGAGTACTTTGGGAAGCTGAGGTGGGCAGATCACGAGGTCAGGAGATCAAGACCATCCTGGCCAACATGGTGAAATCCCATCTCTACTTTAAATACAAAAAGTAGCTGGGTGTGATGGTGTATGCCTGTAATCCCAGTTACTGGGGAGGCTGAGGCAGAATAATAGTTTGAATCCAGGAGGTGGAGATTACAGTGAGCTGGGATCATGCCACTGCACTCCAGCCTGGTGACAGAGCGAAACTCCGTCTCCAAAAAAGAAAAAAAAAAAAAGAAAAGAAAAACACTGAGTAAAATGTCTGATGAGACATCATGCTATCCAACAAACATTTACTGAAAAAATAAGTTGAGTTGGATAGTTTTTAGTTCTGATTCTACTACTTATTAGCTGTACGTCTCCAGGTAAGTTATTAATTTCCCTGAGCCTCAGTTCATTTCTGGAGAATGGGGCCAACTTGACATATGCCATCCGGCTGCAGTGACAATCACTCTGTCATGGGGCTCCTTGCACGGTGCTGCCAGGCAGCAGGAGCCCAGCCAAGCAGGGAAGGACAGTGAGGTACAGTGCTCTTCAAATTGCAGGTGCAACCAATGGATCATGAAATCAGTTTTGTGGCTCGAGACCATCATTATATCTTTTATATTAACCAGAATAGAATGTGTGTAATAAAAAATATCAGGGCGCAGAAGCATGGAGTAATACCATGTTGAGAGGTTTTTGTTTCTGTGTGTGTGTGTGTGTGTGTGTGTGTGTGCACCCGCACAAGCCCACAGGAAATCATGTTGCAAAGCAGAGTTCTGATCGGGGATCGTGCTGGCCAATGTGAGTTTAAAGTCCCTAGGGGAGGGTTTAGGAACTCAGGATCTGGTGTTGGAATTCGCCCTACATTCCATTTGAATCCTGGCTCTGCTGTTTACTTGCTAAGTGGTTCAGCAATCTGTGCCTCAGTTTGAAAATGTGTCAGATAAGGATGACACAGAATTGCTGTGAGGACAAAGTGGGAGATGGCAAGGAAAGAAGCGAACCATGCTAAGGTCCTGCAAACATTAGGAATTCCCACTACTTGTGTAACTTGTCTGGGACACAACGATCACTAAAACACTAGAGCTAAGGGGGACAGCCCCTGCTCTCACACAGGGCTAAGAACCAGTGTCAGCTGCCTGCTCCAGAAACGCAAAGCATTAGTGGGGTACTGAGAGCAGTCAGGAATGCTGCTAAGACCAGGGTTGGGGGAACCCAGAAAACAAAGTGATAGCCTCACCTTTTGCCCCTGTGGGAAAAACATTAGATTTCTCTCTTAGGCTTTTATTGTGCACATCATTTTTCTGTGTTTGTTGCTGCTTCACTATTTAAATTTACATAAACAATTTGGTTCAAGAAATTCACAAAGGATCACAAAAATAGAAGTTAACGAGCCAAGTCCTTCTAGAATAGTGAGTAGCAGTAATACCCTCAAGGCCTGCGCCCCAATCCTTAATGAGAAACAGCTACTATTTATTGAGCATTCCTCAGAACCCGGACGAGGGCCACAAACATGTTCTCATCCAGTAAAATCTTCACAACCAATCTGTGAGTTAGTAATTACTACGCCTGGTTTAAGGATGAGGAAACTGAAGCTTGGAGGCTAAGTGACTTCATTGAGGTCACACCGGTATCAGGCAGTGCTGGAATAAAAGTGTGGGTTGTGCTGACACTTAGGAGATGCTCTGAAAGATTCTGTCCCAAGCAGTCTGCTGAATGATTTCCTGGGTCGCATTAAGCATTGCATAGTCGCTCTAGACTACGTTTCTTTTTCAACCAACATTGAGCCTTGGAGACAAAGCCACACAAAGTTAAAGAAGAAAGGTTCTATGTTTACAATGCTTGGAGATCAGCATCTACATGGATACAGAGCTTAGTAGTGTTTGGTAAGCATGCTCCCTGGACTATATACATAGCACATTTGCTCAAAAGTAGGGTGGAAACTTATGGAACTGAACCAAAACCTGGTGATGTCAAGGTATATTTAGTCTTTGCTCAGATGTGCTTCCAAAACATTACTGGCAGAGCCAAGAATCATCTAATGTTACTTCTTTATTTAGAGTTCTTTTATGTACACAAGCACACAACTATTTCTTATTAAGAAGCACTCAAAGTAAATGCAGGGCAAGTTGCTAGATCCTTTCATCCAAGGATATAAAAGTACTTCACAGACATGCCCATTATCTCTGCTAAGTAAACTGCATTTGGCCCATTTTTGAGATGGACAGAACCAAAATACAAAATTCGAGAATGTATGCTCTCATTTTCTACTGTAAGCATGAAGTCATGCTTGTGATAGCCAGAGGGAATCTAATATGCTAAACATTTCTTCCTATTTGATCCTGAAAGGGATACTTTTTATCCTTTAAATTAAAAAAAAAAATTGTGGTAAAACACACATAATATAAAATTTACCACTTTCATTGTTTCAAAGTAAACATTTCAGTGACCTGAAGGACATTTATACTGTGCTGTAGCCATCACCACCATCCATTCATTCACAAGAGGCTTTTCATCTTACAAGACTGAAGTCCTATGTGAGATACTGTAATTTCCTGTCCCCCACCTTCCCTCAGCCCCCAGTGACCATCCTTCTACACTGTGTCTCTGTGAAATTGACTAGTCTAGGCACCTCATACTAGGGGAACCAGCTAGTGTCTGTCCTTCATAACTGGCTTATTTTCACTGAGCATAATGTCTTTAGGGTATATCTGCATTATAGGCTATGTCGAAATTTCCTTCCATTTTGAAGCTTAATAATTTCCCATTGTATAGACAGACCACATTCTGTTCATCCACTCATCTGGTGATGGACAATAGAGCTATTTCCACCTTTTGGGTACTGTGATGATCATGGATGTACAAAAACCTGAGATCCTGCTTTCAATTCTTTCAGGAAGTGGAACTGCTGGGTCACATGTTAGCTCTCTTTGGAAAACTCTATACCGTTTTCCAAAGTGGCTGCACCATTTCACATTCCCACCAACAGTGCACAAGGGTTCCAATTTCTTCACATCCTCAAAATTCCTTAAGAGTGATTCCAGTTGTTTTAGAGGTCAGTGCTCGGGTAGCCATAACTGTACTTGCTGTAAGATAAAAATCACATTCTCCTTCCCTTCATGTTCTCTATGCTTCCCAATAAATGGGCCTTTAACAGTTGTTTATATCCACATGCCCAGAAAGCACATTTCTGCCTGGGTTTTGCTCTTGTCTCCTCTGTATGTTTCTCTTCTCAAGAATGTGTGAGTGTGAGTGTGTGTGTGGGGGGTGTGCTCCTCAGGTCCCCTCAATGACTGTAGAGTGGTTTAAAAATCCCACATTAAAAACAAACAAACAAAACCCCAGCCATGTCTGGAGTTGAATGTGCAGGAGTGTTAAAGTGAGGGGCGGGAGGGAACTGTAAGCCTGATGGAAGCCATGAGGCCCCACAGCTGCAGACCCCATGCCGGTGGGGGGACAAGGTCTATCCTGCTTATGCCTATACACCTGGAGCACAGTAATTACTCAATGGATACTTCCTGAATTTATGTTAAATATGAACCAATGCAATGACAGGAGCTCTCATTGCACAGATAATCCAACCTCTAGGACACTCCTTGAGAGTCATAATTCTGTTAAGGAGAAGAAAAGACAATAGAATCAGAGCCCAAGAAGGCATGGCCAGTTTAATCCTCTACACATACTGGGTCTGTGTGAAGAACGCCACACACCCTCACGACTGTGATCCTAAGAAAGACAAAGCTGGAGTGCAGAGAGACGGAATTCCTTCGCTCATGTTCTTCCTTGCTATTCTGTAACAACTCCCTGGTTAAAATCATTCACCAAGAGCTAAATTCTAAAAGTCACAGCAAAGCAACTATAAGCTTTGCAATTCTCACAGCCCACACTTTCACAGAAAGCTCTTCATGGAGGTAATCACCTTTGAGAAGGTAGCTTTAGTTCCTACAGCACAAATCCAACATTAAAACACTTAAAATCCATGTCTCCCCTTAGAAACCTTTCCAGTGCTAAACAAACCATGCATCATTTTGTCCTTAGAATTATGTGGTCATCAGTGGATAAAACTGTGGCATCTGAGCACAGAAATCTATCTGGGTAAGTTATTATTAAGTATCAAACACACACACACATACACAGAAACAAACAAAGCCGGATATCTGATGAAAACATCTGTTGAAAATATCTGCTCTTCAAAACATGCACTATTAGGTGAAAACAACAACAACAACAACCCTTTCATCCAATTAAAAAAAAGCAATAAAAGTAAAAGCAATTAAACATAGTTGCTCTTCTAACAGGAGCAGGCAAGGACGCTATGACTTGCATACCTGAGGTATAATTGACATTTTCTTCCTTAAATCGTGAAGTCCAATTTCAGTTGTCAAGATCTTATCAATCCAAATTTTACCTTCGGGTTCTGACAATCTAAAAAGGGCCGAGATGAGGGAACTTTTTCCAGCTCCAGTTCTTCCCACAATGCCAACCTACAGAGAGATCCAGGAGACAGGATTAAAAAAAAAAATCACAAGATAAAGCAAAAGTAGGAGAAAACTTCTGGTTTTGGAAGAAGAATTAAGGACATGCTACATGGAGTGTAGTCTAAGAGTCTGCCAACCTCAGCACTGATGACCTTCTGAGCTGGATACTTCTTTTTGGGGGCTGGCCTGGGCATTATGGGGGATTTACTAGCATCCCTGGACCCTACCGCATAGATGCCAGGAGCACACTCCCAAGATACCACCAAAAATGTCACTGACAAATGTCCCCTGGGGCAAAACTGCCCCTGGTTGGGATCCACTGTTCTAAAAAAAGAGTTAAAAATAACAGAATCTGTTTACTGGCATTGAAAAGTCAACAGTCTCCTAAGCGGCCCATGAAAAGGCAACTTTTAAATTAGCTTTACTTGCGGGATCTGAGTAACTTGACTTTCTGAAATAATTTCACAGGGATATTAATTCAAGACAGAGGTGTCAGAAATGACATAAACGAGTATTCATTTTTCAGAGTCCTGTCATTTAAGATGACATATTCTTTGGTAGAGAAACTTCCAAATATTATCTGGCTATATTTTGTCTCAAACGGAAATGTTTTAAAATTCTAAAGTGAAGATTGTAGTGTCTTAAAAGACAGTAATAACTAGTAGCCAAAAAACACATAATGAGATCAACAACAACACAAATAACATTTGCTGCTTACGTAAGGCCTTTCATCTGAGCAGTTCAAAAGGCATTTTACAAACTAATTAATACTTACAATTTGCCCCTTGAGAAACATTTGTGTCAAGTATCACTCCTCTATTAAAGCAAGATAGAGAGAAATGAAGGGCACTGCCAATACCATCAAAGAATCAACAAAATGCAGGTAAAAACGTGGGGGCTATACTATATTGTAAAAACTGGCTTTCACAAGTGTGCATATAAATCTGTATGCGGAAACTGGCCTCTGTGCCAATGACCTTGCCCAACCGCAAATTTCCTGGAGGGAACTTCCCAAGAAATGACATCCTCCTTATTTAGGAATCTGGAGTCAACAAAGGCCACAAGAGATGCCTTCAATCATTTGTCAATTAATTTAATAAATTTCAAAACTCACTGCTTTAAGCAGAGAGGAAGCAAACTTACTGAGCACTGAGTATGTGTTGGGAATGTTACATTTACCTCATTTGAACACCTCCATATCTGTAAAGTCTATAATGCCATTTCCACAAGGAATTTTATCTTTAAAGAGATAAGTGTACAAAATTATAAAATGTAAATGTTTAAAAAGTGACTTTAGCTAATTTTACTACCTTCGTAGTCATTTTCTTTCTACCTTATGGTAAATCCTAGCTTACACTTTATAGGTGGGCCATTTTCTGCATATAGGTACATCCTGGTGTGTGTGTGAGTGTGGCTTATATGTGTTTCTAAGTATCTCTGGGTGTCCTCATGTGTAAATCAGCACATATCTAGACATAGACAAATGCTGTGTTTGTGAGAATGTGTCGACACTCATGTTATCAGCTCTGTGGGAAACTGAGCCATCTGTGCAAACCTGGACGTCTGTAGGCTATTATTGGTAGATGGCCAGGATGGGCCCCTCAAAGGCAGGGGACACTGAGGGCTGCCTACGACCGTAAGACTAGGCACTCGAAACTCAGGTGAGGATATAATCAGGAGAAGGCAACAAAAGAAAACCTAGCTCTGGTTATTTCTCTTTTCAAAGTCATCAAAATTACTGTCTCCAAGTCTTTCACAAGTCACCAATGGGTTTTACCAAATCCAATGGAGAATATCACTAATATCAGTAAGTTTACATTCATAACACCAAAGAATGTATTTTTTAATTTGTGTTATTTTAATTGTGTTACAATATCCCCTTTTTGTTTTCCCAACTGGGCCAAGAGCGGTCTCTTTGGCCAAACATTAGATTTGGATCTCTCTTCAGATATAAAACTCAACATGATCAATACCCAGTACCCCACTCAGAACAGCTGCTGCTTCTGACTCCTCCATTTTAATTTAGTAAATTCTTCCCCAAGTTCACAGGCTCAAAACACCCACCTCCCAGCTTTCCCCAACTCCATACCCTAAAGATATTACTTGTTCTGTTTGACTCAATATCCTCATTTTAATTTCTGCAGCCATTACCTGAGTGCAAAGCTGCATTAACATTTGAAAAACAAAACAAACCCTTTTGCTAGTTATAACCAGTGCAAGTGAATTTGAAAAATAAATAAATCCTAGCCACAACCCCAGCAATCTGACAGAATCCTTGTTATACGTTAATGCTTTTTCTTTCTGAACTTGAGTGTGAGTTATCTGTATTCCTAAAGATATAATCTCATATATTTAAACAAAATGAGAATATAAACAGATTATTCTAATCTACTTTCATTTATGACTTAATAAAAGTATTTACTTTAGTGGCCACATAATATGACAGTATATATGATTATTTATTCAACAAATCCCCTATTTGTGGATGTTAAGGCTCCATATTTTGCTATTGTAAATAATACCATGTTAAAAATCCTTGAAGCTATACCTTTGCAAACAACCTTAATTAGTTCCTTAAAATAAGTTCTTAGATGTGGAACTGCTGAGGAACAGGTATGAACACTCTCAAGGGGGCTGTTAAGTCATGCCAAACTACCCCCAGAAACACAGTACCGACTTCCACGCCCACCGGTATCCCTGCAGATTCACTAACCAGGGAGTTACAACTTTGTCTAATTAACATTAGTTTGATTCTACAAAGTGGAATCACTTGCCCCATCACATCTTGCTAGCAGTACCCGAGATCTATTGGCTTCAGGCCTCCAGCGTCTTCCCTGTGCACTCACTTTTCAGATTCAACTTCTGAAGTATAGCTCTCTGCCTGGCACTCCACACTGGGAAACCTCTACAGAATGGTCCCAACTAACCTTTCCATCCTTAGCTCCATGACTGGCTTGAGTTTGCAGGATAGCTGTGAAGATTAAGCGTGCACGTGTGTTATTCACCTAGTGGTTCCTGTCCCTGTACACTCACAGGTGCCGAATGCTTCATTCACATCGAATCACAGCATCGTGCCTTGGCATATGCCATCGCGCCTTTCACATGAATTTCGACCTGCTGAAATCCTAACCATTTTACAAAGTCTGTTTCAAATGCATAATTGCATTAAAATCCTCCACCTGACCCCTCGTGCATTTCCCCACACTTAATGGCTGTCATACACCTTTTCTAAACAGCCATAAAATCTGTGAACTCCTTCTGTCTTACAGAGCAGCCATTTATACACTACTTTGTTTCTTCTACTAGGTGATAAGTGCTGTGGGCAGGACCTATATTAGAATTAGCTTTGTATTATTTGTATCACCTGTGGTGTCCTGCAAAAACCAGAAATCCCCCAGAGTCGAACATTTAACTCAGGCTTGAAAGGCTTATGGGAACACTATTGCCATATTGCTCAGGTACATTAGCTAGGTGTTTTCCGCCTCTTGTCTTGTTTAAGTTATACAACTTGAATGGTTAGACCCTATCAGTTGCATTAGGCCCTATCATTTGCATTTTTCTGAAATAACTGAGCCCCTAGATGGCATAATGGGACTGAAACCCAGGTCTGCCTGCCTCTTGCCCACTCTGCTGACGGCCTCCCTATCACTTGGATGGCCTGGCTCTGTATTCCCTTGGTCCAGCTAGAAGGGAGACAGCGGGGAGAAGTGTGGTTGTGGTTAAAGGCACTGGCCTGCTATACCGGTCCTATTGTCACACATTTAATGCATGGTATGGGTGACACCATGGACATGGGTGAATATCAGAAGGTGGCTGGAACAAGAAACTGACAACTTTGAGCCAAGAGGGTGGCTGTATTAGGGCGAGTTACAGCTGTTGACAGGAAGAAGTGGCACCCACAGCAGAGGCTGGGAGAGAGACCTCTAGCTACGTTGGGCATGGGGCACCTAGGAAGGTGTACACAGACAGACCTAGTGTACTGTTTGGGGCAGTGAGACTAATTTTGATCTCATCAGTAGTGAAAGGAATTCAAATACATTGCTGTGCTGAGTGGGTATGAGGACAGAGACTGCTATTCAGGAAAGGGTGTAGTGTGGGGTGAAAAGTGTGATAGAGACAGAGATGTCTAGAAAGGTGCAAAGGAATGCAGAAATGTGGAATCACACAGAATTAAACCGTAATGTAAACTCACGATTTGTAGAAAAGTAAAAACAAAAAATCTGTAGGGTTGTATGTGGCCAGGGACTATCCAGAGGCTCACGTTTCCTTGTAAGAGGGGCTGGGGCAATCCGTGAGCTCAACTTCAAGTTGTCAAAAGAAGTTTCTTGGAAATCTCAGATTATCAGAAGTTGTTTACTGGGGAGCGATGGCTTTACTGCAGGGGAAAGGGGTGGAGCTGGTTCTTGTGCCAATGCAATTTTAATCAAAAGGGTGGGGTGGGCCTGACAGTCTGCATTTCTAACGTGTTCCCAGCAGAGGCAGGTGATGCTGATCCCGGCCCACAAGATGAGCAAGCAGGCAGGGGAAGTGGGACAATCTGGCTGTGAGGGGAGGGGTTTCTCAGCAAACATTAATGTAAAACAGGAGAAAATATAAGAAACTAATATTTTTGCACATTATAGCAAGGTCTAATACACATCTGTAAAAATGTATTATCCAAGTAATAGCTCTGAGCAAGGGAAAAAAAATAACAAACCAAAATCAATCTACCTCTAGACCTGAAAAATGCTTTAAAATGGCCCAGTACCCTCTAAAATGATTAAATCAACCACAAAATCATCTAAATAAAAAATGCAGCAGTGTTTGAAATCTAACCAGGAATCCTAGGGTGGTATATACCTCATTTTGGTTCATTCTTTCTTACTTGCTATTTCTTCCATGAATTAGAAACCTGCTTAGTGCCTATTACTTTTTCCTATTTATTATAACATCCAGGAATCTGAGCAGATGAAGCAATTGAAAGAGAATGAAGCCCTGTTTCTGCTGTGTGGACACATCCCTGCCGGAAAAAATGTCTCTCTCCATCAGATCCAACAGCGAAAGGCACTACCTGAGATCCTGGGGCTGCCGGCAGGTGTGGAGAAGATGAACCCTGAATATACACAGGCAAAGTGCAACAATTCACCACAATGTTGCCTGGATGCCATCTCTGAATACACAAATAGAGCTAAAGGTGACACTGTGAGTGAACCAGGACACAAATCAAAGCCAAGTGGGGCTGGGTGCGGTGGCTCAAGCCTGTAATCTCAGCACTTTGGGAGGTCAAGGCAGGTGGATCGCTTGAGGCCAGGAGTTCGAGACCAGCCTAGCCAACACGGTGAAACCCCAAGCTACTTGGGAGGCTGAGGCAGGAGAATCACTTGAACCAAGGAGGCTGAGTGAGCCGAGATTGCGCCACTGCACTTCAGCCTGGATGACACAACAAGACTCGGTCTTAAAAAAAAACCAAAAGCCAAGTGGTTGTAGCTCTAATACAGCCTTCAAATTCAATTTACCCACCTGTTGAGAAATGCTGAGTGTATGATTGCTGAGAAATGCTGAGTGTTTGCTAAGAATAGAGGCAAGGAAAACCTAGATGTGCCCACCAAGTAGAAAACTATTTGGGGCATTCTAAAGTGGCAAGGCAATATATAAATATCATACACCGGTTAAAACAGTTCTTTAAGTGTGGGACATCTGACCCTGCCCCCCATAGTTCCCTTGTGAGGAATACTTTTTAGTTTGTCTGTGATCAGTGGTAAGTGGGCACCAGATGCCTACTTGGTATATTTTTGTGTTATAAGAAAATACCAAACATGTTTGTTAATAATCATCACCTGTTCAGAGAGAATAGCTGTGTGGGTCAGAGTCTGCTCAGGGCCTTCAGCCTGGAATGCTGTCAGCCCTCTGAGGCTCTCAGCTTGGAAGGCTGCTGGCCCCTTGGATAGTCCCACTTTGCTGTTCTATCTGGGTGTCTGGTTCTGAATTCACTCAGTGCCACCTGGGTGGGGGTCTCTATGGCTGAGCTAGTCTTGGTACCCTCCTACATTTTAGATCTCAGGTAATCCTATGATGTAGGGGGGTGGGGTTTAAGATGAAACAATATCAGTGTGGAGATATAGGTTGTTTTCTAACTTGTACAACAGAGATTTGTAGATAATTCATATTATACAGCTTCAAGGGAAATTTACAATGTGACCAAACTAACTGAATGATGATGACTATGGAGGACCTGATAAACACAGTGTCTGAGAGGAAGCAAACATTCCCCTGATGCCATCAGGAACAGAATCTGAAAAACCTTGCTTTCAGCAAGAGCTACAGCTGATGTTGTCTGCAGAGTGGTCTTCCTTCTTCATACCCACAAGGACATGGGGTAGGTAATGAGGAATCAGCATTTGCTGGTTTCCTGGGTATCATCTGGCCATGAAGCTGCATATTTATTTTTCATGGCACAATGAAAAATTTATGACTGTCCATTAAATAGGTCTGTGGTGGGAAGAGCTGAAAAGAGCAGTTCTGAAAGTGTCTAACACTGATGCCCAGGGAATGGGTTGTTTGCAGGAGCTGTCATGTGTGTTTTGTTACTGATTTCTTTGGATGTTCATATCTCTCACTCTCACAGGCACCCACCATATGCCCTGCAGCATGCCATTTTCTAGGGGTGCAGAGGTGAATATAAAATGCTCCCTGACTGTAAGACTCAGGGTACTGTGAGATGCTGAACCAGAATTATACATCATGCTATTGTGCTGTCTTCTTTAACAAAAAATTGTAGTAAGATACACAAAAAGCACTTAATGTACTTTTAAAGTTGTAGTAAAATAACATAAATTGCTTATTGTAACCACTTTAAAATATACAGTTCTACTGCATTAAATACATTCATGGTGATGGGCAACCAACACCATCATCCACCTCTAAAACTCTGTTCTTCTTGTGAAACTGAAACTCTGTACCAGTTAAACGCTAATGCCCACTCCTCCACCCCTGCAACCCACCATCCTACTTTCTGTCTCCATGGCTAATTCCTCCATGTACCCACATGTAAGTGGAATCTTATAGCACCATCCTTATCTGTCTGGAATTGTAACGAGAGGGGTGGGAAGGGGAAGAGATTCCTACTGTCTTGTTTGTTCTGGTTTAATTCTGTCAAGAGGCTGTCTTAGTCCTGGCCATGGGCCCTAGGCCACATGTGAAAGGGACATTACTGGTGGACTTAGATGCCTGCAGAACCAGCTCACAAACCTCCACATAGCCTCCCAATCCCCTCCTTGCTTTCCTTTCAGTGACTTATGAGTGAGTCTCTGGTGCCTTTACTGCCTCCAGCTTGGGGCTCTGATTTCTGAGCACTGATGGGGTCATAGGATCTAGGTCTTCCCTGGGGGCTGAGAGCCACACAGCTCCTGTCAGGATGGGCCTGGAGCTCATTAAGGTTGCAGCAGCAGTTACCCTGGCCAGGAGCTAGCCATGTAAGGATCAGATCTGTGATCAAACTGTTTCAGAAAGAAAGAGTTTGCAGTGAGAGAGAAGGGGAGGGAAAGCAAAGCACGGGTTAAAGGAAGGCAAGAAAGACTAAGGAAAGGGCCCGATATAGTTGGCTGTGTCCCCACCCAAATCTCATTTTAAATTCCCACATGTTGTGGAGGGACCTGGTGGGAAGTAATTGAATCATGGGGGCAGGTCTTTCCTGTGCTGTTCTTGAGAAAGTGAATAAGTATCATGAGATCTGATGGTTTTACAAGGGGAAGTTTTACTGTACAAGCTCTCTCTTTGCCTGCTGCCATCCATGTAAGATGTGACTTGCCCCTCCTTGCCTGCCACCATGATTGTGAGGCCTCCCGTTCCATGTGGAACTTTAAGTCCATTAAACCTCTCGTTTTTCTGTAAATTGCCCAGTATCAGGTATATGTTTATCAGCAGCATGAAAACAGACTAATATAGGGTCAAAGGATGAAGGAGGAGAAAGGCTGGACCAGAAGCTCAGCAATGGAGAGGAAGAGAAGGACTTGAGAAACACAACAAAGTAAAAATCGACAGAATTAGACATGGGAGTGTTGTGACCAAAAGCCAGAGTTGACTTCCTAGAAAAATGCGTGAGTAATTAGATGTCAAATAGTGTATCCTGGGTCACCTTAAGCTCCAGCCCTAAGGCCCTGAGACCCATCAACCACATTGAAACAGTTCACAGCATGAAGAAACAATGTTGGGATCCACATTTCATGGTCAGTTTCCAAGATAGGTTAACCTATGTATCACTGATCTCCTTCACACATCCACAAGGAAGCCAACAAGCAGACGTAGCACTAAATCTTCTGAAATTTAGATGAGGCAAGATGCTTGAAACCAACCTTTTCTCGTGATTTAATGAGTGCTGTCAGGTGCTTCAGCACCAGAGGCCCATCTAGACTGTACATGAAGTTAACATTGTCAAAGATGATCACTCCTTCATGGGGCCAGGCTGGTGGTGGGCGTTTCTGGTATTCCCAAGGTGCTTCTTTTTCAAGGTCTGTGTATTCAATCACCCTTTCTACTGAGATCATCTGAAAGAAATATAACATCCCCATGGGTTAAGAATGGAGGGTGTCATTTATGATGTTAAGAGACTGTCAATGAAATGTTCTTTTACACATGGTTGGTTAAGGGGAGAAGCAGGAGACCAATGAGGATGGTGATGACTTACAAACTTGGTTCATGATTGTGTAACACCTTCACTTACAGCCACTTCCTTCAACATTAGGTTGAAATAATGAGAGAAATTAATGCTCAGATTTCATCTACCCACTTTTCACATCTGTATTAAAGGCAAGGAAATTTTGTAAAGGAAAAGAATACTTACATCTACCAGTCAAGAATCTCTTGCTGACCAGGCACGGTGGTTCATGCCTGTAAACTCAACACTCTGAGGCTGAGGTGAGTGGATCACCAAAGGTCAGGAGTTTGACACCAGCCTGGCCAACATGGTGAAACTCCATTTCTACTAAAAATACAAATAGTAGCCAGGTGTGGTGGTGGGTGTCTGTAATTCCAGCTACTTGGGAGGCTGAGGGAGGAGGATCACTTAAACCCGAGAGGCAGAGGTTGCAGTGAGCCAATATCATGCCATTGCACTCCAGGTTGGGTGACAAGAGTGAAACTCTGTCCCCTGCAGCAAGAAAAAAAAATCTTCTGCTATAGAAGGGTTACCTGATATAGATTCGTTAAACTGGATGATCATGAAACCTCACTGTAATAATTACTCAAATTTTACTCTATGAGAATAATGGAAAGATTTTATGTTCATTGCTTTTCTCCCTTTAGGAGAAGATGCAATTATTTAAAACACTGATTAAAGCCACCTATACCACCATAAACTAATACCCTTTGACTAACACACTCCAAGAGGGTGCTTGCTGTACCAAGAAGGCACGCCATCAAACCCAAGACCTTCCTTCTGTTCATCACATAAGAGAATAAAGCTAGAACTGGGAGAGGAGGACCTATTAATTAAACATAAACAAACTCAAAATATTGCAATCTTCTTTTACCAGGAATGAAGAATTACCCATTAAGAAACAAAAATAAACAGGCTTCTAAGAAATTAGCATATATCCTCTCCAGAATTTCAGAACCTCCCTCCTACAGAGACATTTATTACATCTGAAAAAGCTTGTGATGAATATAAAACCTGCTGACATAGCAACCATGAGACTCAGAAAAAGATGTATATATTTTATTTTACATTAACATTAAACAGATGGAGGAAGGATCTTAAAAACCTCTGTTAGCAAAGATGTAAAAATAACAGTTTCAATATTTCACATAAGAATAGCTTTTATGCCATTTAATGGCAAGGAGACTTGAAAAGGCAGAGAACGTGAAGATAAACATTACCATATTCTCAACTTCGGCACTTTGTCGAACACACCACTGAAACATCCCCATGAGCGTGAGGGCATAGGACAGCGCCAAGCCAACCTGCCCGGCATCCAGAGCTATGTCAGGAGGAAGAAGAGAATAAAGTCAATCTCACTTGAAGCTTAAGCCTGGCTCCTTCTGCCCCTTACCAGTAATGTTAAAACAATTTGCACATAATGACATTAATAGCTACAATTTTACCATTTGTTGCTTGAGATCAAGATACAATGGGGTAAACAACACTGTATATTCAGAAAGTTTATTAGATGATTTTATGAATTTCAACAGGATCAACATACATTTGCTTAACAGTATTCTGTATGCAAGAAATAGTGTCATTATTCAGACATTCATTATTATGGTTTCAGAGCCCATCATTTCAGAGCCCACTTTCTATGTGCAATTCAACCACAGCTGGAAACCACTAAAAACAACAAAGCAATAGGTTGTAAGTGTCAATGCTTTTGAGACTAAAATACTACTCTCCTTGTTCCATTAAGTACTGTCATGCACGTTGTTACTGGGATGGTGAACTCATGCTATACTTGTCTGGTACCCATGTGGCAGTGAAGATGATACTCTTTCCTGCTGAGAATTTTTCTCAACCTCATGCACCAGGCAACCACAATCAATAGCAACAAGTAGTCAGAAAGCTAACACCCTAAGTGGGACAAAATGCTTCAGAATAAATTGGTTGTCTCTTCACCTACCAGACACTAACAGAAATGTTTAGAATGTCAATTGTACATACCTCAACCCATTCAAAGAAAGATAAAAGAAACCCATCAAGACCCAAATGACTCCCTTAAATGAGTCACACTGCTGAATCCTATCCAACCTGACACCCTGTAAATGATTTAATCCACTTCATTAGGACCAAACAGTATGCAGGATTAGACAAGGTGGCAAGAGTTTAATTTAATAACTGTAAACACAGCTATGAATTGTAATCATACCATTCATAGTTATTCACATCTGTACTTACTTTTTGCCAGAATCAGGGACCCAAAGGCAACGACGATGACAAACATGGCACAGATGGCATCCAGACGGACGGCAAGCCAGCGGGACGTTGTCAAAAACAAGAACCAAGCCTCTGAATTTGAGAACGGTAATAAGCATGATGAAGAAGGAGAAGAACCGTATTAACTGCATTGAACGCGAGTGTGTGTTCTGCTTAGCTGAGCTACAGATTTTCCCATGGAGTAGGACAGCAAAGCTGCACACCCGAGGAACCTACAGATTCCAGAAAGCTAAGTGATACAGGCAATATATGATACACATACAAAATAGTACAGTGGCTTTGAGTGAAATGCATGTGAATATGAAACCCAGAAATATGAACCTAATAAAGAACTGAGAAAAACAGTCTCCTAAGGGCATCTCATGGGAAGTCCACCCATGCACATGGTTGATTGTTACAGTTCTCCAATAGCGGAGTGTAGCTCCCAATTTATTTCACCTTCCATACTTACCAAAAAGGCTATACGCACTAGCTATCGCTTAGGGGCTATCTCAAAATGACCTCACTACCAGGATTTGCATGTGCTTTTTCGTTTGTTTGTTACTTCTTTTTTCCGTTTTGCATGTGGTTTTTAAAGTGCCATTTCATCAGCAAGATGAAATAAAGCTTGGAATAATGGACCAGAATTTTGTAGATTTGGTGGAAATTCTGAAATTTCCGAATCGAAAAAATCTTCAATGATTTTTCAGCAAACTGTAGTATGTGAGCCAGCACGTATTTTTGTAAATAAAGTTTTACTGAAACACCGTCACAGCCATTTGCCAGCATACTTATGTCTGCTTTTGTGCTACAACACAAAGGTGATTAATCGCAACAGAGACAATAGTGGCACACAATGCCTAAAAGATTTACTAGGAAGCCTTTTTGCAGAAAATGTTTGCTGACCGAGTCACAGGCCATGCATGGTGAGAGAAGGACCCCATAAGACAGTCAGGGGCTACAAAGAAGGGATATGCAGAGGGGATTCTGAGAGGAGTCCAAGCCCAGAAGAAGGGGATGGAGAAGGAGAGGAAGATGTGCAAAAAGCAGGATGTGGGGCTGAGCTCTGAGGTGCCGGCCAACAAGTTCATCCACACAAGGAGGTTAAGCCAGAGAAATCAGATCCTGTCCTCTGAAACCAATTCCTGAAATGGACAGACCTGAATGTAAATCCTGGTGTGCATCAAACAGTTCCTGACACCTCTCTTCTGCTTTGTATGCCCGAATGGTCCAGAGCCCCTGGAGAGAAGATGATAAGTGGGAAAACACCGGACTCCGGGCTGGGGAAACAGAGATAGAGAAAACACTCAGTGAGTCTGGATGCAAGGAAACCAGTGGCCTCCCAAGCTGCATCATCATGCATCCACCAATCAGCACATGCAAGATTCCTAGGAGGCTTCGTGATTCGAGGAGAAATAAATGCTCCCAACAGCCTGAGGGGACCCTGACACTGCAATCTCAACCTTCTGCTCAAACCACACCTCACAAAAGGGGCCTGGAAATGAACGTCCTATCTTTGACCATATTCAAATCTAGTTATAATTCTTTCATTCCTAATTCAGCCTTCCAGGTCCTCCTCCTCTCCGTATTCTTCCCTGACATCTCTTTGGGCAGAAATGATATTTCTCTGATTTTTGACCCAGTAGCATTTTTAAAAACAATTCTGTGGAGAGATCTCACCACACTGAATTAGTCATCTATGTGTCTGTCCCCACCTTAAATTGTTAATGTCTCAAGGGCTGGCTATAGCCATTGCATCCCGGTAACTGGACGGTACCTGGCACAGGACAGGTACTCAAGAAGTAAGCTGAACAGACTGTCACTTCCCTTCATCCTGGGGAATCTTCTGTGCCCACTAACACTAGAAGAGTCCTTTATGATCTCCAGGGAACTGGGTGCTTCAGTGCCCTTGTGCCATGTCCAAGGAACCTGCCCAGCCAAGATGTCTCTGAATGGTCTTAACACTGGCTCCGGGAACCTGATGGATGTTTTTAGGACTGCCCCGTTGAAAGGTCATCCTGATCTCTGGAGGTCTCTACGGAATGTGCCATTGCCTTTTTCAGAATCTGCTGTGGTCTCAGTGGGTTCATCATCTCTACAAAATTTTAAGAGGTGAATACTCTTTTGTGTGACTTCTTTTTTCTTTGGGAACTGGATAGCCCATGAGGATCACTGCTCAGCTACTCCTCCTTGGGTCACTGTGTTTTTGGGTGGTGGTGTTGTTTTTTGTTTTTTGTTTTTTGTTTTTAACACAAAGTTTGGCGCTTTGTCCCAGGCTGGAGTAAAGTGGTGCAATCTCAGCTCACTGCAATCTCCTCCCCACACCCCGGGTTCAAACAATTCTCCTGCCTCAGCCTCCCAAGTAGCTAGGATTATAGGAACCCACTACCATGCTTGGATGATTTTTGTATTTTTAGTAGAGATGGGGTTTCACCATCTTGGCCAGGCTGGTCTTGAACTCCTAAGCTCAGTTGATCTGCCTGCCTTGGCCTCCCAAAGTGCTAGGATTACAGGCATGAGCCACTGCAACTGGCTTTTTGGTTTCTTTTGAGATAGGATTTCTTGCTGCAGGGTACTGACGCTGTGTGGGACCTTCTGAGGGTTATTATGTTTTTAATTATCAAGGCTCTAATGCCTCTGGTAGTCCCTGTATGTTCAAGGTTCTAGTGTCCCTTCCAAGCAGTCTCAAGCAAGCCTCATAAGAACCCAACAGGGAAAGTATTATATCCTTGATAGAGGGAAAAACAGAATCAAGGCATTAAGAACACTGCCCAAGGTTGGGCGTGGTAGCTCACACCTGTAATCCCAGCACTTTGGGAGGCCGAGGCAGGCAGATCATCTGAGGTCAGGAGTTTGAGACCAGCCTGACCAATATGGTGAAACGCTGTCTCTGCTAAAAATACAAAAATTAGCCAGGTATAATGGCATGTGCCTGTAGTTCCAGCTACTCAAGAGACTGAGACAAGAGAATTGCTTGAACCCAGGAGGCAGAGATTGCAGTGAGCCAAGATCATGCCACTGTACTCCGGCCTAGTTGACAGAGTGAGACTCCGTCTCAAAAAAAAAAACAAAAAACCAAAAAACAAACAAACAAAAACACTGCCCAAGATTAAGGAAAGTAAGCCATGCAAGTATGCAAATGGTAGACTTGGGCATCGGACTCATATCTGTTTTATTTCCAAGGCTGTGCTTTTAATCTGAGCCACAGGTCTCAGAGAAAAAATAATCAGAGTTAAACATTCTCATGCATCCTGAAGGCATCTTTCTTCAGGCTTTGTAGCTCACAATTGAAAAACCCCCAAATCTTACTTGGCTAATATCCAATAGCCTTTCCCATTCCTGTGGCACTTATTAATCACCTTGCATTGAGCAAAGCCCCTGGGAATCTAGGATGAGCACACTCAAGGATCTTACGATCTAAAATCATGGGGCACAGGGGTTCACACTCATGGCAGACACTGCTAGTGCATCACAGTTTCTTTACAGACAGAAATTGGATATGGCTTCACATTCCTGGCATTGCCAAATGAGTGGAGGTGGCTAGAGAAATGCAACCAAATGCCATTCTGGTTTTTATGCACTTCTCTATGACTGACTGTTGCTATGGTCACTTTTGCAAAAATAAAAAATCATTATGACCAACTGCAGATTTGTTATTAAGATTCCTTAAATGCCAACTATGGTTCCAGAGGTGGTGAGGCAGTCCAACTCAGGCTTTGAAAATCTTTGAGAGCACAAGATGAAGCTGGGTTATGCCTTCCTGCCATGGCAATCGGGAATCCTGCTTTTAGCCAGTGACTTTAGCAGCGGTCTCAAAAAACATGATCCACTGCTGCTTAGAAGAAACAGTGGAATTGTGATTCATGGCAGAGACCCACCGCCCCAGATGGATAACAATAAACAGTTCCAACCAACTGGTCACCACAGTTGGTGAGCTGAGGGCATGGAGAAAGAAACATGCACATGTAACTCACTGTCACAGCCAACCGGGGTGCAGGGACACCCAAATATGCCTCAGGGGCCATGATAAAGTTGTCCAAACTTGCCCATGAAAATGTTTTCAAGCTTTAGTGTACATGCTGAAATTCAAGAGAGAAAATCCTACACTGTCTCCAAAAAAGCCTTCCTAAATCCCCTTTTCTCCACATCCACGTGGATCGGATGTGGCCCTTGACACAGACAGACACCTGTGTCAAGATGTTCCTTCTGGAACAGATGCTTCCTTCAGCATACCACAGACTCCATGAAGATAAGACTGTCATATAACTTCATTTCATGAGCAGGCCCAAACCATAAAATGCCTGCAGAGCTTTGCTGTCCACACGTCACTAGCTAGGGCCAGTGATCTTCACAAGGAAGGTCTCCCAGCAACACTAGCATTTATACTCTGCCTTCCCTAGAAAGTCCTATGGGCCAAGTGTTACTCACATGTGGACTCCACTGCTCAGCCAGCCCCATTAAACCACCTCATAAGATGAGATCTCATGGTAGTTCAGCTGGTTTTCTTGATGACTGAAAGTTTTTCTACAACTTTTATGGACTGTCACCCACTCTACTTTATGCAGACACTTAGGATAAATGCCTCTTAAGAATTCACTGTTGGTCAGGTGCAGTGGCACATGCCTGTAATTCCAGCACCTTGGCAGGCTGAGGCGGTCAGGGTTTCAAGACCAGCCTGGCCAACTTGGTGAAACCCCGTCTCTACTAATAATACAAAAATAGCTGGGTACAGTGGTGTATATCTGTAATCTCAGTCACTCAGGAGGCTGAGGCATGAGAAACGCTTGAACCTGGTAGGCAGACGTTGCAGAGACCAAGATCGTGATATTGCACTCCAGCCTGGGTGACAGCGAGACTCCATTTCAAAAAAACAAAAAATACAAGAGTTCATTGTTAAAAGAGAAACGTATATATGTCACAACAAAATACTGCTTTGTCCTGATAAACTTCTATTTCCCACTCAGTAGATACTGAAATGATGGGACTCAATGTTTCTCTTCTAGGTGTGGCTTCCAGAGAGCGGAGTTGGCATTTATTTGCAGTTAATATACACAGTGGAGCTTTTCTGACACAAATATCTTCCTTTTTTACTTTTTGGCTATCATCCTTATACCTTTTATAAAAAAGTAGAGCAATTCTACTCTCCTTATGAGTTTTCGTTTTAACAATGATGAAATATGTTAATTTGTGCATGCATAATGAGATGAATTTCATCTCTGCGATTACTTGAGGAATAGAGTGATTAATCATAAAATGTCTTCCCCATGATTCCAAAACTAGGAAATTGAATAGAGCAACAGACTATATGTTTTCTAAACTTATATCTCTCCTTGTGATCTAAGGGGATTATTTTCAGTGTCCATCTACGGGGGAACGGTCTGAACACTGTGACATTTGTACTGGGAAAACTGAAAACAACGATGCTTATCTTTTCAAAACGTTTACATCTGCAACTTACTAGCTGTTTTGTGAGTTTGCAAAAGTCATAAATTTAACAAATATATTGCTTCTGACACCTCTTTTCCTTTCTGCAAACTTCTCATTTCCTTGTCATTTTTAGCATCTTCAGGGAAAGAAAAATATCCTAATTATTTTCCTTCTATATTAGTTCCACCATGATCAAATTTTTATTTCTAAGAAAAATGTTTAATTAAATGTCGGCTTTGTGTAAGGAAGTATCTCATAAACAAGAACAAATAGTCCCTGCCTTCATGGTGCTGACATTCCTGTAGAATATTATTCCTGATATGTCCTTCACTCCTTCCTTGTTCCAGATTGCAAAGTTGCATGTTGCATGCTATCAATTCCACACGCTCTAAGGGACACAATGATTCATGATGGCCAATACATTCGTTACCTAATGTTAGAGAAATTCTGGAAGACAGAGTCTGCCAAATTTCAGGGGGTCTCTGTAATCATGGCCTAAATGGAAGCTACCTAGCTGGTCTATACCAACCCGAGTTTCTGCACTCACTTGTAGATTCCAGGCGCTTCACGTCCCTTGACGTTTCCAAAAAATATCGCCGAAGAAAAATGAAAACGATTCCAAGGGGAACCAAGGGTATTGCGATCCAAGGAATCACTGCCACAGCCACAGAGACCACACCAACCACTTGTAGCAATGTCTGAAACAGCAGAAGTAGATGCGGGTTTTCCTTATCAAGTATTCTTTTCAAAAATACTTTAATGAGTTATTGTTAGGATTACACTCCTTTCCTCGAAAGACTTTTGCAGTACCAGGGACTGTTTTCCATCCAAAGGAATAACAAAGTATAGGTGGTCCTGATGTTACCTATTACATGCCTGCCGTGTGCCAAACACTATGATGTGTACTTGCCCATTAGTTCCTTTTTTCTTTTTCTTTTCTTTTTTTTTTTAAGACAGAGTCTTGCTCTGTTGCCCAGGCTGGAATGCAGTGGTGCCATCTCCTCTCACTGCAGCATCCCGCTCCTGTGTTCAAGTGATTCTCCTGCCTCAGTTTCCTGAGTAGCTGGGACTACAGGTGCGTGTCACCATGCCCAACTAACTTTTTGTATTTTTAGTAGAGATGGGGTTTCACCATATTGGCCAGGCTGGTCTTGAACTCCTGATCTCAAGTGATCTGCCCACCCTGGGAATACAAGTGTGAGCCACCACACCAGGCCCCCGTTAGTTCTTTTGAAATACTCAGCAGCCCCATGAATCAGGCATTATTACTTTCCCTATTTAATGGATGAGAAAACTGAGATTCAGAGTAGGACTTGAATCCCAAACTATCATGAGTCCGTTGATGTTAACAGGGCAATGAGCAAGCAGACATCATAGACAAGGAACCCAGAAGCCTCAGCTATGCACGGGATAAGGAAGTGACTAACTGCAAGTTCGGTGCTTAGGAAAAAAGGAAATAATTTAAATCTTCACCTTTAGAAGTGGGGAGTCATCTCTCTTGGTATCTATCCTTTGTGTATCTGGCTGTATAGTAAATACACATGTATCAACTCACTTAAATTTCACAATATATCTATGAGGTAGTATTACTACACCATTTTACAGATGGAGACACTGAGGCACAGGGAGAAACAAGTAACATGATCAAGAGCACACAGCACCAGTCACAGAGCCAGGGAGCATGCATCGTCAGGCCCTAAATTTAAGCTTGTCCCCAGCATATGGTCAATGTTTTATGGGTCAGGACAAAATACTTAAATTTGTCTTTAATTTTTAAAATTTAAAAATGTTTAATTTTTCCTCTACACACACTTACGTAAGAAATTAGAGTTCATTAACATTCCCAGTAAAGAACAGACAAAAGAAATGTAATACAATTTTTACATGCTTTAAGAAACCTGAGATTTTTTTCTTATTATAATATTGAACTTTTTATTGTCAGAAACGTTTCACTTCTATTTCTCTTATGTTTAGTAGCATTGAGGAAGAGTTTTGATAACAAGAAAACAACTTACAATGTCTAACAGGGTTTTGTGTGTTTTTTAGCTTTAATACTTGGATGCACATTAAATTTTCCACCATTAGGAGAAATACTTCAAATGTCTATTTCAGAGGCACATGATGATAACAACAGCAAATGACATTTATGAGCTGTATCTGGATACAAGGCTCTGTGCCAATGCATCTGTGAATGTCCACTTACTCATCACTTCACCCAGCAAGGTGACTTTATCTTTGGAAATTACCTTTGTCTAGAAGGTAAAAAGTGAAAACAAAAGAAGCATAGAAACCCAAGACAATGGGTGATGCTCATTTAAGTATTCATCTTTATTAGGAAACAGGTAATATCACGGTCTGTGGCTTCAGGAAATATGAGTATAAGTCAAGTGAGTGCCTACCTACTCTGAAAGCACAATGCTTGCTTCTTGGGAAGGATTGAACAGTGGGGGTGTGCAGATTCACACTAAACATGGTCTGAGGCCTCCAAAGTTCATAGTCTTACATAAAAGTACATGACTTCAGCAGAAAGTACAGAGTGCTATAGAAATATAAGCAAGGGCCAGGTGCAGTGGCTCAAGCCTATAATCTCAGCATTCTGGGAGGCCAAGCCAGGTGGGTCACCTGAGGTTAGGAGTTTGAGACCAGCCTGGTCAACATGGTGAAACCCCATCTCTACTGAAAACATACAAAAAAAAATTAGCTGGTTGTGGTGGCACACACTTGTAATCCCAGCTATATGAGAGGCTGAGGCAGGTGAGAAAGTGAGACTCTGTCTCAAAAAAACAAACAAACAAAAAAGATAGAAAGAAAGAAATATAAGGAGGAATACATGTATACTTTGTAGAGATTTTTAAGATTTACAACTGATTTTCACAGGCGTGTTTAACAGACAACCAGAAAGTACAGCATGAATAGTCACCTGCAGGTCGCAATCACAGTTTAATTGCTGCGGGAACACAGGCAGTTCTGTGTGTGTCTTCTCAGAGCCACCACCTGCATCTCCACCTGCCAACCCAGCATCTGGCTCACTAGGCCACTCACAAGTTTCTGTATCAAGCTGACAACCGAAACAAGGTACAATTGCCCTGCCTCCCAAAAACCAGGAGACGACATTTCACGAGGCTTGCTTATATCCAAATTTCTATACTTATGTATTTCACATCCATTATCTAACTTCACTCTCACATCAAATCTAAATAGGAGAGATTAGCATCTCCATTTACACAGGAGGAAACTGAGTCTCAGAGAGATTCAGTCACTTCCTCAAGGTCAGAAAATTCAGTCACACTGACCTCATGCCTGTTCTCCTAATCACTGCATGGTACCATATCCTACATACATGATTCATATGTTTTTAAAAATGTAATAGCTAAATATACCCATAGATTTTATATTTTCTAGTTGTATAGGTTTGTGTGTGTGTGTAATTGTATCTAGTCTCTCGATGAGGTAACCAATCCTGGGCTCCCAGCTAATTAGGAAATAACAGACTTCTCAGCTCACAAAGAAAAGATGATCTTTAAAAAGTCTTAAAATATTTGCTAATACAACATGACAACACATATTGATGTAAGAATTATTGTTTACATTTAAAAGTTTCATAAAAAGATAAGTTCTAAACCTAGAAAACAAAATGACGTAAGAAAAAAAGAACCACATTTTGATAAATATATAAAACCTCAGGACACAAAATGAGTGTTGAATACATTTCATATTCAGTATCTATATTTGAGTGGTAGTAAAAAAAATACAAAATTTCCCCAGGCAGACTCTTCTAGAATTAATTTTGTATCCAAATATTAGAGAATGGAACATATTCTTTTAACAAGCATAACTTTAACTACAATGCCTGTTTGGCATTTAACCACCAAACTGCTTTGAGTCCTGGAGAAATTTTTAGGTATCTATCCACTATTTACTTTAAACTTCATTCTGTGGGATTCAGTTCCTGCTCGTCTTTGTGAAGCTTGTGCCAACGAACATGTTTTCTATAAACAGCAGTAAAAATGTATTCCTATTTTATGCAAATAAATATGCCATCCATCCTTCTGGCTCATTCTATTCCTTATTTGAACTCTCCCTCTCTCATCCTGCTATTAGGTACAAGATAAAATATGTATTTAATCATGAGGCCACTTAATCAGTAGACAGTACTTTCATGATTTGTTTATGGTATTAAAACAGAAAGTCAGGATCACTAAGATTGCTAACACCTTAGAGAAACTGGAAAGCCTTTAATTCTGCTGTTAGTCACTTAAGAATCGTGTTTCAAGTTGTGATAAGTACAAATTGTCCAGATTGCCTTAAACGATTACTGACTTTGCAGAAGACAAAACTTAGGTGCAATAAACAAAGGAGGGTTCACTTCTTGGTGAGAAAGTATGGCAAGACTTTCTTCTGATTTAGAGAGAAAAAAATTGACAGCTAGTTTTTGATCAGTAAGGTGTTTACTGACATGGTGGTGGAAGAAAGTCTTCTACTTATTTTATTTTGGGAACTGTTCAATGAAATGACTAACATAACAGGTTGTGCTCCTGGCTAACATAGGATTTCTTGTGGAGCCACTAAAATTACGAACGGGGTATACAAACCTACAAGAATATAAAGAAATAAAAATGCAATTCTGTCAAATCATTATCATTACCTTCAATTACAGGATGAATAGAAGCAAAAGGGACAATATGAAAGACAGTTAAATGTAAGCTCCTAAGTCCAAATACTGACAGCATCAGCACTAAGTCAGCAGATGTAAATCATGTGCTACTGTGGCACCTTGCCTGCCTCAGGGAGTTCAGAGGTCAACTCTGGTTCCCAGGTCTCACCTTGGGAGATCTCTACTTTATCACCTGTTTCTTTTGACCTCATCTAATTCAGTGAATGCCTTTAAATCAAAACTTTAGAGAGTGTTGGTATGTCTTCCGTGTATGACAAGATCTAAACAAACATTCTCTAAGCTTTTCTAAACTTGTCCTTCCCTTGGGATACACTAATCACTCCTTCCATCCCTCATATGGCTGATCTGATCTTTTCACATCCAGTGCTGGTAACTATGCCAGACTTTGGTTAGTGCTTAATCCTGAGCCACAGCTAACTCCAATGAAGAGCGAATGGTGTAAGGCATTAGAGCAATGTAATGCACCTCTTCCTTCCTTTGTGGTCAGCACATCTCATTGATTGACGGTTTCCTTTGTACACTATGTAATAGTAAAAGGCCTTGTCCAAAAAGAAAATATCACAATCCTAAACATATATGCACCTAACACTAGAGCTCTCAAATTTAGAAAACAATTACTAATAGAATTAAGAAATGAGATAGACAGCAACACATAATAGTGGGGGACGTCAATACCTCACTGACAGCACTAGACAGATCATCAAGACAGAAAGTCAACAAAGAAAAAATAAATTTAAACTATATCTTCGAACAAAGGGACTTAACAGACATAAACAGGACATTTCATCCAACAACTGCAGAATACACATTCTATTTGACAGCACATGGAACTCTCTCCAGGATAGACCAAATGATTTAATTCTAAAAGGAATCTTCAAAAACATGCAAATACACAAAAATTAAATAACCTCCCGAATGACAATGGGGTCAAAAATGAAATCAAGATGCAAATTTAAAAATTCTTTGAACTGAATGACAATAATGGTACAACCTATCAAAATCTGTGGGATACAGCAAAGGCAG